GTGTCTCGGTCCTGGGGAGAGGGTCCCGCACCCCCTCCGTGTCTCGGTCCTCATGAGGGTCCTGCACCCCCTCCGAGGGTGACGCTGTGGAAACTCCATGGTGGCTCCTTCCAGACCACGGACAAGGCCTTTGGTGAAATCACTTCTTGTTGCTTTTCTCCTTTTTATCAGTCTTGGCGGAGGTCCGTGAATATGATTAGCCTTCTCAAAGAATTGACTGCTGGACTGTTTTACCTTCTTGGTCCTTGCTATTTTATAAATATACAAAACATATGTAACTTGTTCTCATTGGTAACTGATCTTTAATATTTCTTCCTATTTTCATCAAAAAAATTTGTGGTTTGTTCTTTAACATCTTAGGGTGCGTGGAAACATGTACCATTTAGGGCTGTAATTTTGTGAACAGAGATGACAAAACCCCTTCTCCTTCCAGGTGGGAAGGCGGCCTTGGGCGAACCTTCTCGCTGACTGTTCCCCTAGAACCCTGACTGGGGTGGAGATGACCTCAGCCCAGGAGGCCGTGCCTTGTGACCCAGAAGCTTCTGAGTAGGTGCCCCCTCATCTCACAGGTGCAGTCCCTGGGGCTGGAGGTCACAGCTGCCGTTGGGACCTGTGCCCCTCCCGGGCTGGGCCTCACTCCGGGTCCTTTTGTAAGTGACTGGCTGTGGAGGCCCCGGCACCTGGGAGCCTGGGGGTTGTGCCGGGGCAAGGTCCCCACGGCTGCAGTGTGAGGGCTGGGGCTGCCCTGGGCACACCCAAGCTCCGGGGCTGTTTCTCACGTCCACCTGCTTCTGCTTGACTCACAAGCCGCCTGGAAGGGCACTGCCCTGTGGCATTTCCCATGTGATTCCGCTGTATCGTGAGATCTCGGTTCCTGCAAGCCAGGCATGCTGTCCACCTAGCCTCTGGTCCCAATGCTGGGAACGCAGCCTGGAGACCCTAGCAGGTGACGCCTGTCAGACCTGCCATTCAGGTCTCCCTGGGCTGAAAGTCTCCCTATAATGATTGTTCTTTTTAACTGTACCCATCTTTCACTTGTCATAGCTTGAGGCTGTCTCATTAGATGTACAGAATTTAGAACTACTGAATTTCTCTGGTAGAGATGCTCCATTGTCTCAATGAACATTTATTTTTTATTTTTTCAGGACGGAGTCTCACTGTCGCCAGGTTGGAGTGCAGTGGCGCGATCTTGGCCCACTGCAACCTCCGCCTCCCAGGTTCAAGGGATTCTCCTGCCTCGGCCTCCCAAGTAGCTGAGACCACAGGTGCGCACCACCATGCCCAGCTAGTTTTTGTGTGTTTTTAGTAGAAAAGGGGCTTCACATGATGGCTCGGATGGTCTCGATCTCTTGATCTCGTGATCTGCCTGCCTCAGCCTCCCAAAGTGCTGGGACTACAGGTGTGAGCCACCACACCCAACTGAGCATTTATTATTTTTGACCATGTTTCCTACTCTAGGATATACTTTGCACACAGAGCCACACCCCATACTACACACCCACATACACACACTCCTACACACACACTGCACACCCACATACACCCAGCACACCTACACACTCTACGCCCCACACTACACCCACATACGCACACTCCACACACACTCCTATAGGCCCACACCCCACTACACACCCAGCACACCACACTCCACATCCCCACACCCACACCCCACTACACACCCGCATACACACACTCCACACCCCACACCCACATACGCACACTCCTACACACCCACACCCCACTACACACCCGCATACACACACTCCACACCCCACACCCACATACACACACTCCTACACACCCACACCCCCAGTACACACCTACACACACTCCACACCCCCACGTCCCCACACTGTATACCCAGCACGCCACATACACTCCACACACACCCGAATCCACACCGCCTCCGGGTGCCCTGTCTTCTCTGGTCCTGTCAGTGGGGAGTGTCTCTCACAGCAGCACACACATGTCGGTTTTGGTAATCCCACTGACCATGTCTGTCCTTCGGTGGCCGTGTCTCCCCGAGTCACGCTTACGGCACCTGTGGATGGATCTGCACTTCGAGCTCCTGTTTCATTCCCTAGTTTCTGTTCGTCCCGCCTGTTCTACGTTCCTTTTCCTCTCCTGTGTTGACTTCTTTGGATGCAGCCTGTGTTTTAAACGTTCTGTGTATGCCATCCTGCCTCTCCAACCTCACAGTCCAACAGAGTGAGAACTACTGCCACTCCCCAGGGCACCGAGACTGAGGGGGCCTCTGACCCCACTGTCGCTGGGCTGTCGGGCCCTGCAGCCTGCACCGGTTCCTGCGGGAGCCTCTGACCCATGTCACGCAGCCTGCACCGGTTCCTGGGGAGCCTCTGACCCATGTCACGCAGCCTGCACCGGTTCCTGCGGGGGCCTCTGACCCCACCGTCGCTGGGACCCCATGTCACACAGCCTGCACCGGTTCCCAATGGCACTGTCTCTCCCCATGTCTGCACTCCCTTGGCCTCATCTTCTCCCTGAAGAGCCTCTGCCGACACAGGTTGGGTCTGGAATGGCTGCCTGCTGGACGCCACCTGGTTCTGAAGGCTGCAGGAATACCTCTGGCTGTTGGCATCCATGCTAGCAGTTCCCGTTCTTGGATATTTTGAAATCATTTATGGTCTTCTGGCTTCTCCCATTTTGTTGAGAAATCTCGTCACCCTTATTGTTGATCCTTCACATGAGGGGAGTTCTGCACCTTCCTGGGCTTTGGAAGAGCCTTGGCCATTCTGCTGCAAACACCGCTCCCTCTGGTGCCCCCGGGACCCTCGTTCTGGCTCCCAAGGACAGGCAGCCCCACGTCCACCTGGACATTCTGCTTCCCCGTCATGTCTCATCCACTTAAACCCACAGACGGGTCCCAAGTTCCAGCTGTTCCGCCGTCAGCCCTGGGTTCGTCCCGACCCCTCTGCGCTTCCCAGCTCCCTGCTGCCATCTCCAGGTTTCCTGCAGCTTGTGGGTGTGACTGTTGGGGTTCCAGGTGGGTGCGCTGACCTCATCAGTGGGCCTCAGGTCTGCTGCGTCCCCCGAAACAGCCTCCTGGGCAATACCCCCTCCCCACACGAGGTCCTGGGAGAGTTCCTGGGCAGACGTTCCCCAGGCCCATGGAGGGGAGAGGGGTCTCAGGACTGCCAGCACATGAAGGACGATGTGCCTCTGCAGTGCCCACTCAGGCCTAGCATGGACAGGCAGCCGCTGACTCCTCAGTGGATGGGGGCGATAGGGGAATCTTGCTGGGCCTGTGCCCTGCAGCCCACCCCCACCCCAAAACCAGGTCCTGTGAGAGCTCCATCAACCCAGAAGGGGCTTCCTTCTTCCCAGGGGGTAAGGTGGGCACCACACAGTGAGGGGCCAGGACGCGCCGGGGGGCTCTGGGTGTGACCCTGCTTCAGTGCTGGCCATGCCGGGGCTCCTCCACCTGGCATGCCCACAGCTGCTCACCTGGTGGCCCGGGGGGGCCCACGTCTCCTTTGGCGCCCTTGGGTCCTACAGGGCCCTGATATCCTGGAGGAAGAGAGACCAAGTCCCCGTCATGGAATGCACCAGGGAGGGGTCCAGCCCGAAATGCCCCGTGCCTGGGTTCCTGGGTAGGGGCATCAGATGGATGTGGGAGTTGGTCAGGGCAAGAGCTCCCAGGGAGCAGGGGAGCCCAGGTCCCCCTCAGCAGGCCACGTGAGGCCAGGCCATGCCTGCAGGGTTAGGATTAGGGTTAGGCTGGGCTGCTTCCATCCTGCTTCGGGTAGAGAAGCAAACTCTAAAAGGCGAATAGCAAATGGGGCCACCCCAGGTCAGGTCCTGGACATCTGTGCCAGGAGGGGCCTCGGGAAGGGCCAAGATCATCAGGACTGAGTGTGGGCTGAGCGTGCTGGCTCGGGAAGGAGCATGAGGTCCTAGAGGTCCCTTCCAGAGCCTGTATCCCCAGCTGTGAGCCCGGGCCCTCACCTGGCAATCCTGGACGCCCATGGCGGCTGGACTCAACAAACGCCTGCAAGGAGCAGGGAGAGGCGGCTGCTGAGAGTGATGTTCTGAAACTGAGGCCACTGCCACTCAGGGTCCCCAAGCCCAGAAGCACCCCCCACCGTGCGAGGCCACGAAGCAGCCTCCCCGACTCAGAGATGGGAGGTAACAGGTGGGAGCCTCCCCCACTCAGAGACAAGAGGTGACAGATGCAAGTCCACAAAGCAGCCTCCCCCACTCAGAGACAGGAGGAAACAGGTGCAGGGCCACATGGGTTCCCTCGCTCAGAGATGGGAGGAAACAGGAATTTGGAGAACCAGGAGCCCCGGTGTGAGGCCACTTGCTGAGCCCGGGAAAGCGGGGGTGCCCCCAGCACCCCTGGGCTCTGGCCCTCAGCAGAATTCCAGCTGGGAGTGTCTGCACGCCCACAGAGCCCTCCCTTCCCCGAGGCCTTCGCTTTCCTCGGGAACTCACCTCCTAATCCACTGCCCACCAGACTGGCCCATCCCAGAAGGACCTCCAGACGCAGAGGCCCAGGGAGAAGGCCCAGCCCCTCTGCGAGGCTCTGGGTGAGAGCCATGGGCAGCCACAGGACAGTGTGCGCACTGGGGACTTACATTGCTGTCATAAACAGGAGTCCCTGGAGGGCCTGGGGGTCCTGGAGGCCCCGGGGGTCCAGGCATTCCCTGTGGGGAGGGCAGAGAGCTGTTAGGTTTATGGGCTGCCCGTCAGGCAGCAGGTGACAGCAGGAGCAGTTCAGAAAATCAGAAAATTCAGAAAGCTGGCTGCTCTCCAGGCAGAACCGAGAATGCAGTGGGTCACGTAGGCCACGACTCTTGAAGACAGGAGCTGGCCCTGGCCCCACCTCACCCCACACCAGAGTTGTGCACAAACGTCCCTCAGAGGAGCGAAGAGGCCACTGTGTCTCAGGTAAAAGGTGACTGAAAATGCCTCACCCTGCTGATACCAGGAGACAAAGCTCTTGGGTCTGACGACAGCAGAGTGGACACCTGTGGGCTGAGCGGGAGAACCTCTGGCATGAGGGTGTGGGGGGCACGGGCCAGGCCCATGGACACCCTGAGAAAGCACGCTGGCCTGGGGGGGTGTGTGCACGTGTGTGTGTGTGTGTGTGTGTGTGGACGGGTGCACATGCGTGTGAGAAACCACAGTGGCCTGCGGGGTGTGTGTGTGTCTGTGTGTGTCTGTGTATGGACGCGTGCACATGCATATGAGAAACCACGCTGGCCTGGTGTGTGTGTGTGTCTGTGTGTATGGATGGGTGCACATGCATACGAGAAACCACGCTGGCCTGTTGTGTCTGTGTGTGTCTGTGTATGGACGGGTGCACATGCGTGTGAGAAACCATGCTAGCCTGGCGTGTGTATGGATGGGTGCATATGCGTGCATAAGTACCTGTGTAGGTGTGTGTGTGCACATGTGTTTACATGGCTGTGCCTGTGTGGACGCGCACGTGTGAATGTGAACGTGTGTTTGGGTCCACGTGTGCATATGTGTAATGTGTATGCATGTGCATACATGTGTTCATGTGTGCATGTACATGTGCAGTGTATGTCCATCATGGAATGGGCTAGGGAGGGCTCACATGTGTATATGGACACACGTGTATGTGTGCAGATGCTTAAGTGTATGTGTGCGCAGGTATTTTGATTCATACATGCACAAATGCATGTGTATACGGGCACACATGTGCAGGTGCATGGACATGTATGTGCACACGTGCACACATGTAGAGTGGCCACTTGGGTGTGTGTGCATGACTGTGCATGGGTATGACAGGACCAGTGCAGTATGGCCACACGGTAGGAGCTGCAGGACCCCAGGCTGTGGCCAGGCCATCCCCAGGCCCTGGTCTCCCCACCACCCGGGCCACCCCTTGAGGGACACTCACCCTCATGCCAATTCCAAGGCTGGCGTCTCCTGGCTCCCCTTTCTCTCCTTTCAATCCGTTCATCCCGGGGCGACCCTGGGGTGGGGCACAGGGGTGGGAACTGCTGGGCACTGGGCATTACCAGCCAGGTTTCTGCAGGGCAGCTGCCATCCCACCACGCCAGGCCCCGCCCGACCCACGCTCAGCCTCGCATGCTTCTGGCCCTCAGGCTGCCCCAGCCCTTCTCCCTCCTTCTTCCTGCTCAAGGTCTCTTTCAGGAGGAGGTGACTGATCCCAGCACACCCAGGGCCACTTCCCTGTATCCCCCCCAGGGCCTCCTCCTGGGTCCTGGCTAGCCACATCCAGGACAAGAGTTGTGCTCAGGCAGGGCTGGTTCTGGGGAGAGGACAGTACTGTCCACTCCCCTCTGGGTGTGTCACCCCTGTGGGCCTGGGCTGCTCCCCACCTGCCAGGCCCCAACTGCTGCCCCCACAGGAGACCCCAGGTCCTCACCGGCCGTCCAGGAAAGCCAATCTCTCCCTTGTGCCCAGGCCGTCCGTATGGGCCCTGCGGGAGGAAGGGAGCTGGGCTTAGTGGAGCAGACCCCAGCCCTTGTTCACGAGCCAAGGGGGGCACCTGTCCAGGAGCCGGTGAAGCAGGGGGGCCATGCAGAGCTCAGCGCCCTGGGCCACCCATCGGCTCCGAGGAGCCCGCTGCGGTCTCACACCAACACCTGCCCCAGGCACTTTAAAGCTGCGCTCGGGAGAGGAGCCCTGGGCCGCACAGCTGAGCGAGCCTGTCCTTGGGGCCAGCATACCCGGGCTCAGTACAAACAAAGCCAGGGGTCCACTTACCGGGGGTCCCCGGAAGCCTGGCTCTCCCTGAGCAGAAAACAAGAAGGCACAGTTAGGTGGCGGCTCGTGGCCCACCTGGCAGCCTCCCTGAGGGCCCCTGTGGCCCCTCTGGGTGCATCGGCCAGACCCCAAGGCACAAGCAGCTCTGCAGAGGATGGGAGCCACTGGTGGAGGAGGTTCAGGATTGGGTCTGCATCCAGGTTGGTACAAGAATGGGGTGTGCCTGGGGCCCTGAAGCAGGGGCAGGGTTGGGGGGGGGCCCCACGTAGTGTCCTAGTGGCCACAGACGCCCGCTCAGATGCACAGCTGGGTGGGACAGTGGCATTCTCACCGGGCCTGGGGATCCTGTGTCTGAGGCCCACCCAAACACCCCAGAGGGCTCAGTGCTCCCTCAGAAAAGTGGGTGAGCCCGTGCCCCACACCCCAAAGATCCAGGATCCTCCTCAGGACCCTCCCACCGCTTATCCAGGTGGCTGCCTGCTGGGGGCGGGGACCCAGGCACAGGCCCCTTGAGGAACTGACTCTGGATCCTGCCCTGGGGTTGCAGAGAGGAAGGAGCAGCTGCTGCCCATAGCATCAGGGCCCCCAGGAAGAGGCTGGAGGGGCAGCCTGGGCTCCTGCAGACCAGGCCCCAGGGAGGCGCCAGCTTAGAGCTGCAGCCGTTGAGAATCTCCCCTCGGCAGGGTGGGCTCAGGGCAGGGAGAGGACAAGGGCCCGGCGGGCCGACCCACCTGGGTGCAAGAGGGGAGGGGCCATGAGGGGCCAGGCCCGGATGCTGGAGCCCTGCTTGGGCAGGGCTCGTGGGTCAGGGAGACCCTCGGCAAGACCCTTCCCAGGCTGTCTCCACAGCCCCCAGAAGCCCCCATGCCCCCACACTGGAAGGAGGTTGCCTGGCCTCACCTTGGCTCCTTTGTGGGCAGGGCCCAGGGCACTGCCATCGGGGCTGAAGATGCTGCCAGGCTCACCCTTCTCACCCTGGAACGGCAGGAGGTCCGGCAGAGTCAGGCCAGCTCCTTCCCGCAAAGCATCACCCAGCGCCCTGAAGGCAGGAGTCCTCAGCCGGGGAGCAGCCTGGGTCCTATTCAGGGTGGGAGGCGACCACAGGGACAGCCCGAGTGGGGTGTACCCCTCACCGCAGAGGCTGGGGACTCCCAGATCCCCCAACAGCGGTCACCTGGGCAGGCTGGAGCCGCCCCTGGGTCATAGAGGGGGTTGAGGGATGGCGCCCGAGCCCTTACCTTGGGTCCCGGGGAGCCTCGTTCGCCCTTAGAGCCTAGGTCACCCTTGGGCCCCGCAGGTCCCTGAAATGGGGGCCAGGCAGGGGTGAGGCTCGAGCAGCTGCGTCTCCCCCATCCCTGACGGCTGCTCCACCTCCTCCCACAGCTGCCCCCATGACGTGCCTGCCTTGTCAGTCCCCCACAGGACCCTCTCGGGCCCGCCTCACTCCGGACACCACAGCCCTCTGCAGGTGAAAGAAGCTGCCTCGGCCTCGAGGGTGCCCACCCAGTGTGGGGCCTGCCGGGGCGGTGCCCACCCAGTGTGGGGCCTGCCAGGGGCTCTGCCCACATCCCGCCACCATCACGTCCTCGAGGGCCAGTGACTGTTGCAATCCCCTCCCCAGCTCTACAGGCTGCTCGGTGCCACCAAGTGGGGACCCCCCTGCAAGGAGGGCGGTGGGGGCCAGTGCTCAGCTCTGGCACGAGGTTACTCACAGGAAAGCCTGCGAAGCCCGGCCGGCCCTGGGGAAAGAGGGACGGCATCAGCTGGGGTCACCACACACCTGTGCCATGGCCTGGGCCCCACCCAGACTTGAACCCAGGTCCCCACAGGCACGTACCTCAGATCCCGGCACGCTCCGGACGGCTCCCTGTCCACCAGCCAGCAAAAACAAATCAGAAGCAAAGAACTATGTTTAAAATTAAACCGGACTCTCACTGTGAGACTTACAAGATCAACAGAACAAAACGAAACATGACATTCAGGAAAATGCTGCTTTCCGGGTTTCCTGGGCCGGGGGCACCCCTCCTGAGCACAGACTCCCCTCGCTCAGAGCAGCTGGACCCAGACTCCAGACGCCCTAAGGGCCACGGTTTTCACTTCCGTTTTGGTTTAAGATGCTCCTCCCTCTGCTAGAGGCTCCCTTGCTTGCCAGCCTGGGGGCTTTTCTCATGTTCCAATGAGTTGACCGTCATACCCAAGTCCCTGTGGCCCCGCGATGCCATCCGGCTGCTCCTAGCAAAGCCACGCTGGGGAGGCTCTCCCGCCTGTGCCCAACCCCACCCTCCTCTCCAGATGGCTGTGGTCCCACCTCCTAAGTGAGGGCCCGGAGCACAGGGATAGGTAACAAGTCCAGGGTGAGGGCTGACGGTGCCTGCTCTCAGCTCTGCCCGGGCAGCCCCTTCCAGAGAAGCAGGGATCTGAAGCCCCCTCACACCCAGTTCTGCTCCCTGGGCCGTACGTCTGCCCGGGCTCAGCCTCCTGCCTAGACGTGGGGCTTGGGGCTGCCGCTGCATTCCATGTGGCAGAGCTGGGCAGGGTCGCGTCTGCCTGTGAGGCCAGGGTGGCATAGGAACCAGTGGGACATGCTGAGGGCTGGCACAGAGGGTGCAGCTCAAAGGCCTGATGAACAGGCCTCGGTGGAGAGGAAGGTTCCAGAACTGACACAGCCTTCACCAGAGGGCCAGGGCATGGCTGCTGCTTCTGACAGGGCAGCTGGAGGACTCCGTGCAGTCTCAGGGCCACAGCGTCAAGGACACAGGCACTGACCCGATGGGAGCCCCCCCACCCCTGGGGCATCTCTGACCCCGGGCCTCAGCAGCCCCCACGGTGAACTCAGAGTGTGGCCTGCCCTGTGGGCTGTGGGGGGTTCGGGGAGGGATCTCTGCACCCAGTGGGAGGTCTGGACAGACTGGGTGCCCACCCATGCAGCATCCTTACGTCCTGCTCCGACACGTAGACCACAGGCCCCGGGGGTCCAGGGGGGCCGGGAAGGCCCGGCTGCCCGACTCCATCCTTCCCTGGATCTCCCTGGAATAAGATGCCACGTGTCCAGCATTTTGTCCCAGCCACTCTGGCCAGGACCCCAGAGCCACCCAGCCCTGGAGGGGGTGCCCAGAGCCCATGGGGGGTGAGGAGGGCACAGGGCTGTGGACTGCAGCCTTGGAGTCCCCTCCCAGGCAGCGCAGGGAGATGGCTGAGCTGCACACGCCACCCCCGCCTAAAAGCCGCCCCTGCCGACTTGAGGGTCTTTGTCCCGAGTCTCTGAGGCCACATGGGCAGCAGGGGCATGGAAATGGGGGCAGCTGAGGATAAGCCTTCGGGATGTCCCAGCACTCCCCACCCCCATCCACCCACTTAGAGACACTCACCTTTTCTCCCCGGCTGCCTCTGTCTCCCTTTGGCCCCTGAAGAAATGGGAAAGAAATGGTTCATCATAAACAGAAACAGGAGCCCCCGTCTAGGAGCCCCGAGGCTCCCACAAGAGATGACTGTGAATGAAGACGTGGAGTTCTTTATTTCCAGACCGGGAGGGGCCTGGGAGGGAGGCAGCCAGCAAAAGCCCTGATGGAGACATGCACTTGGCTCCTGGCGCTCAGAGACCTGGAGGGAACACGGAGGCCCAGGGCCCGGGGGAAACACCTCCTCCCAGCTTTCGACTTGGCGTGGTGCCTTTGGGGCTCCACGCCTTTGCACCCCAGGGCCACCAAGGCCGCTCACCTGGGGCCCAGCAGTGCCCTCTCTGCCGGGGAGGCCGGGGAACCCAGGGGCTCCATCTGCTCCAACTTCTCCCTGAAAAGGACACATGGAGGATGCAGGGCATTGGCCACAGGCCCGGAGCTGCAGGGACCCTCACAAGGAGTCTGGGGAACCCCTGGACGTGGGACGGTCTGGGCTTCTCTCTCTCACCCCTATGGCCCTAGGCGGGGGCTGTGGAGGGACGGAGGAGTGGAGAAAGGGGAGTCGGGAGGAGGGGGGAGTTGAGGGAGGGGAAAGTTGGGGGAGGAGGAAGTGGGGGAGAAAGAAGTGGGGAAAGTTGGGGGAGGGAGAAGTGGGGGAGGGGAAATGGAGAAGGAGGAAGTGGGAGAGAAGTTGGAGAGTGGGAAGTAGGGGGAAAGGAGGGAGAGGCAGGAGGCTGGTGGCAGGGGAGGAGGGGGCCTGCACAGTCAGGCAGCTGGGAGGGAGGAAGGCTGTGTTCCTGATGCAGTCAAACCCGGAGGTGCCCTAGGGTTGGGTGCCCTGCATGTGGGTGTCCTGGCAGTTTTCCCTTTGAAACCGGCACGTCTTCAATTATAAAGGACGATGGGAGGAAGAGTAGGGAAGGCTGCCCTGAGCCAACCTCTGCAGGCGTCTGCCTGGGCCCTCCCTGCCCCTGCCTGGCCACGTCTCTGAGCCCCAGCATCATGCTTACCTTGGCCCCTGGTGGCCCAGGCATGCCAGGATCCCCCTAAGTGGATAAAGGGTCTCATGAGCACCTACTGGGGCCAGCCCAGCACCCCCAGGCAGCGTCCACCCCGGGGGAAGGGAAGAGTGAGTGACCCAGGATGCATCTCACGCCCCTCCCCCAGCCCAGACTTGTGCAGGGACCCCGTGGCCCACGGTGGCCAAAGGCACCCAGTCTGGTCTGCAGTGGAGCCTGGGGGCATATTCCATCACTGGGACTCTAAGCAGAACCCTGCTGAGATGACCTCACTTTCACAATTTAAGAAAGTGAACACACAAACCCTTCCAAAAAGTCAGGCTTTCGAAATGTCCAATGTCTTGCAAATGAAAGCAGAGCATTGTCAAAAGAGTGGGCGCCAGGGCAGGGCTGGTGACATGTGAGAGTCAGCCACAGGGTGGGCCCCCTGCCACCAAGCTTTGATGTGCACAGCTGGGTGAGAGGCGGCTGCTGCCCAGGGCCCAGGCGGGGGTGGGGTCTTTGGGGCAGGCTGGGGGCTGGTGTCCTCCAGGAACAGGGGAGCAGAGGACAAACTCCCAGGTCCTCCAGGGTCACCACACCTCTGGCCCTGAGCCCAGGAGCCCACCTGTCCCTAAGGCTGAGATGGGGACCCCGGGTTCTTCCCGAGCCCCTCTTTCAGCCCGTCGGAGTGTTTGCTTCAGGAGTGTGAACCCAGGAATCCTGATTCATGGGTTTCAGAGGGAGAACGGGACAATATTCCTTCACACTGGAGGTCCCGATAGGGGCTGTGTGTGATTATTTCCCAGTTCAGCTTTTGTGCTGCATTTTGCAAATTTCCCGTGATGAATTCATCCTACGCCTGCCATCCGAAAACCTGAGGCGAGGCCCTGTCTCCCCAACCCCAGGGTGGCCAGGGCCAAGCCAGCAACCACCCAAGCCCACGCTCCGTCAACACTGACCTTGAGTCCTGGCAGGCCGGGGGTTCCCTGTGAGGGCAGAGGAGACGTTAGTGCAGCTGCAGGCCCTGCGGTGAGATGCTCACCCCACAAGAAAAGCCGATTGGTAACAGTCAGGACTTAAAAATCCGTGTGTGCAAGGAAAGGTGCTAGGTTAGAATGGTGAAGCCCTGCTAACTTACCGTGGAATCAGTTCGTTTCTGCCTCACTGAAATTTCGCATTCATTTTTCTCCGAGTGAGAAATGTGTCCTGACCACCCCTGCTTTCAGCAGGCTGAGTCTCTGAGCGTGAAGCTGGACGCTGTGGCTTCAGCCGCCCCACGTCTCAGGCACAGGTTGTGACGCCTACGGGCTCCTCCGTGCTGGCACCACGGGGGAGCCGGTGTCGTGGAAGGGACAGCGGGGGCGGGGAAGGAAGGAGCAGCCGGCCCCTGGGTGTGCCCTGACACATGAGTTGTCTGAGCACAGTTACTTAGGGATTTTGGTCACTCCTGGCTGGCCCTAACCCTGACCAGTATATATGCTGACAGTGGAACATGGTGGAGATGTCACAGGAATTTCAGATTCTACTCAAGCCAAACATCTGTCACTTCCCAAAATTGGGCCACAAAAAGAATATGACTTGAATTTCCCCAGAAAGGCCTGTCCTTCAGGGCGAGGCGGCCCTGCCTCTGTCCTGATCGCCCACTGTGTCTCCCACTTTGCAGACCAGGCCCTCACCCCGTGATTTAGTTCAACAAAGGGGCATCTCCCGAGCGAGGGTGGCCAGCACAGTACCCCGACACGCGGTCTGCTCTGCAGGGCAGCTTCCGGCCGCAGGCAAGGCCGACCACTCAATGGACACTCTTCCGCCCCAAGCAACACCCCCTCGCCCCTCAGAGCCGGCCACGCCCAGCCCATGGCAGTACCTGCGGCCCATCAGTGCCTCGGGCAGTCGACCAGAAGGGCCCTCCGGAGCCTTCCATGTCATCCTGGAGGAGCACAAGACACACATGGGCCCATGTCCCTTCTTAGGGAAGGACCCTCCCTGGGGCCAGCACTGCCTGAGAGCAGGACAGGCCATTCTGCGGGGCCACGGTGGCCTGGGGAGCCGCTGTTCTTGGACGGGGACTGTTCACCTGGTGGCAGGGCCTGGGCGGGGACTCCTGAGGCCACCTGTCTGGGGTCAACTTATTTGCTCTCGCTCAGCGCAAGGGTGCCGGGTGTGGCTGGGCCGAATTCCCCAGGAGCAGCCCCTCAGCACAGCAGGGCACAGGCGGGAGATGGAGTCCCCACGGGAAGACAGAATCGCAAGCTGGGGCAACGCCAGTGAGGCCACTGCCAGGGACTGCTGCTGTGAGTGCCATGCCAGGGGCAACGGGTGTGGTATGGTGCTGCTCTGTGAGTGCCATGCCAGGGGCAGCAGGGGTGGGCACAGTGCTGCTCTGTGAGTGCCATGCCAGGGGCAGCAGGGGTGGGCACGGTGCTGCTCTGTGAGTGCCATCCCAGGGGCAGTAGGGGTGGGCACGGTGCTGCTCTGTGAGTGCCATGCCAGGGGCAGCAGGGATGGGGCTCAGGCAACCCCGGCTCTCCAGGGGTCAGATGCAGGTGGCACTCACAAATCCAGCGGGGAGTCCTGGTCCTGGCGGCCCAGGGGGTCCGGGGGGGCCTGGTGGTCCTGCAGGTCCAGGGGCTCCTGTGAGGCCACTCTCCCCACGAGCACCAGCAGGACCGGGGTCTCCCTTGCTCCCCTGCATGGGGTGAGGAGAGCGTGTCAGGGCCCAGCCCAGCCCAGCCCAGCCCCCACTGGCCCTGCAACCCCAGAGCAGACACGTTTTCTTATGATGCTTTCTCAACACCTGAAAATCAAAAGGTAAGTAACGCCCTGCCAAGCAATGAAGGTCAACAGCAGCAGCAGGAGCCTTCCTCCCGAGTTCACCACGCGATCTCAGCCACTTAGAGACACAGCTGAGGACACAGCCTTCCTCCCGAGTTCACCACGAGATCTCAGCCACTTAGAGACACAGCCGAGGACACAGCCTTCCTCCCGAGTTCACCATGCGATCTCAGCCACTTGGAGACACAGCCGAGGACACAGCCTTCCTCCCGAGTTCACCAAGCGATCCCAGCCACTTGGAGACACAGCCGAGGACACAGCCTTCCTCCCGAGTTCACCACGCGATCCCAGCCACTTGGAGACACAGCCGAGGACACAGCCTTC